GGGTTAAACTGGGCTGCTCCTTGGAGGCAAGGATTCTGAGGCTTCGTCTGACATACTTTGGTCATGTTGTAAGGAGATACTGGTCCTTGGAGAAGGACATCGTGCTTGTGAGGGTGGAGGGCAGCCGCAGGAGGGGAAGGCCCTCTATGAGGTGGATTGGTTCAGTGACTGGGGTAATCGGGATGGGTGCTTCAGAGACAGTGCGACTGTCACAGGACAGAGCAGAGTTTAGGACTGTTGTACACAGGGTCGCTATGAGTCACAAGCTACTTGATGGCACATGACAACAACAACAGCATATTGGAGAACAAATTTTCTAGCTTTTTAAATATTTTTTAAAATTTTATAATGGTTTATTTAAGAAGTTTATATACAATGTTTTTTTTTATGAGATCTTTCCCATTTCCTTCACCCCTGCCTCCCTCCCTCCACCTATCAAATTATCACAACCCCCTCCCCACACACATCCTCAGTCCTTTACTCCCCCTCCCCATTTTGGATCCTCATACTCATTCTACAATAATGGTTTTATACGATATTTGTCCTTATGGAATTGAGTTAGTTCAGTTATCATGATGTTCTCCAGTCCTTTCCAAGTTAGGTAGTAATTCACAAAATCATTGCTTCTGGATGCTTCATAGTATCACACTGGGTGAATGTATCATAATTCCTCAATCCATTCCACTGTGGTTGGACATTTGTGCTGTTCCATGTTCTTGCAATGGTGAATAATGCTGCTATGAACATTGATGTACAAGTCTCCATTTGTGCCTCAGTTCTCATTTTCTTGTGATATATTTCAAGCAGTGGAATAGCTGGGTCATGTAGAATTTGAGGAAATTCCAAACTGCTTTACAGAATGTTGTACCATTTTACAATCCCACCAACAATGTATAAGACTTCCTATCCTTCCATAACCCTTCTAACATTTATTGCTTGCTGTTCAGTTAAACTTTGCCCACTGCTATTGGAGTGAGATGGTATCTCATTGTTGTTTTGATTTGAATCTTTCTTATCACCAGTGATTTTTAACATTTATTCATGTGTCTGTTGTCCATCTAACTATCTTCCTCTGTGAAAATTCTTTTCATGTCTTTTTCCTATTTTGTAAATGTATGATTAGTCTTTTTCTTGTGGAGGCCCTGCAGGATTTTGTAAGCTTTTGATATGAGACCCTTGTCTGAAATGACGTTTCCTAAAGTTTTAAAATAATGAAATAAAAGGCATCCAGATTGGCAAAGAGATGGTTAAACTATCACTATATGCATGTGATATGATAGTATACAGAGAAAATCCAGAGACTCAACAAAAAATCTATTAGAGCTAGTAGACCAATTTAGTAGAGCGGGATGATATAAGATCAATAGCATGCTTCTGGAAACTCTGTGAACTCTTATAAATGGTGATGGTTGTGGAAGGGCTTCAGACCTTTTGTTCATGGGGTCAATATGAGTCATCCTTGTCTCAAAAGCAGTCAACAACTACAACAATACCCAAAAATCACTCGGATTCCCACAAATTGAGATACTTGGGAGTGAACCTAATTAAAAATACAAAAGACCTAAACAAAGAAAACTGCAGAACATTTCTGCAAGGCACATTAAAAGACCTAAAGAAATGGAATAATGTGCTCTGTTCATAGATAGGAAGACTCAATGTTGTGAAAATGAAAATCCTACCAAAAGTAATCTACATGTTCAACACAATCCCAATATAGATACCAAATTAATTTTTCAAGGAGATTGAAAAGGAAATTGTTAAGTGTATTTGCCCCAAATAAGCAAAGCATTTCTGAAAAACAAAAATGAAATAGCAAGCATAGCCTTCCCTGATCTCAAAACCTATTACACAGTGGTAGTAACAAAAATAGCTTGGTACTGGTACAATGACAGACACAAAGACCATTGGAACAGAATTGAGAACCCAGAAATGGACTCAGCTATCTATGTTCAACTGATATTTTTTTTTCCACACTGAAAGATTTTTTTTAATTAATGAAATTACTTACAATATTTGAAAAAAGTTCTTAACACACAAAGGGAGGGGAGGTGTATTCTCGAGAGGTCCATGCTTTGCTTCCCGCTGCCCAGGTTTCTATCCCACTTAGTTAGCCAAGCCACCCTCTGGTCATGCTGCAATCACCAGTTGAAGGGTCTTGCTGCCTAGGAGTTTTTGTCTGGTAGGCACTACGGACAATCTTGAAGGTTTTCTCTATTTGCCTCCAGTTGGTGCCACCTTCAATGGCAGTAGATATTAGCTTCCACCAGCTGCTTCTTATCCTGTGCTCCATAGATGAAGACCCTGGCATGACCCTTAGGGTCCAGAATTTGAACCTGCAGCACTGTCATGGTTGACTGCTCTATGGAAGGGATGTCTTTGCCTTCAGGACCAAAGATCTTGTCCACTTGCCACGCTGGTATGTCACACACCACGGGTCGAGCAGGTGCTCCTTTTGGAACCAGTCGGGAAGGATGCGCAAATCTACACGTTCTGGCAAGAAGACGTGAAGACTCTCCTCTTTCTCCCCTTGCTGGGGCGTAGCCGCCGTGGTCGCTTTCGACAACTTCTTGACCTGGTGTGTCCATTCCGTCGGCTTTAATGCGGTCACTGAGTCTTTTTCAGGGAACTGGGACATGCCAGCCTCCTTCGTTAGCGAAGTCATTGGGTTTTCCTTGGGAAACTGGGACATGCCAGCCTCCTCCGAGCTAGAAGAATCTCCAATATATCGGTCAACTGATATTTAATAAGGAAATAAAACCTATCAAATTGGGAATGACCTCGTCAATCTCTTCGACAAATGGTGCTGGCAAAACTGCACTGCTGCCTTCAGAAAGCTGAAACAGGATCCAGATATCAAACCATACACAAAAATCTAGATTTGTTTTGACAGATGATATTGAGCTTCTCCACTGACTCTCTTTATAGATTCAATTTGTTTCTGTGTATTTCATCATTTGTGGTCCATGTGTATATCACCATTTATGCTTTTTTAAAAAAGGTCTTTGCAATGAATAAATCATGTGCAAAGTTATCATGTGATATTTGGCTTCATTTCTTTTTCTAAACCACATTTTCCAACTCCCACCTCCCCCCCAACATTTGCATTTTTAACCATCAGTTATTATTAATGCCTTGTTTGTATGTGTCTATTTCAGACTGCAGAAAGTGATAGAAACTAAATTTCTTAATCTTTGGCTTTGTATTTCGATAAGATTTATATTTACAAGTCTTTCCTAAATGCGTATGCATTGCATAAAATTTAAATAGCATTATTTAAAATTTATGTAAATTTTATAGATATTATTGCATTTCAACATTTTAGGTTAATTCAATAGAAGGATCTTTAATTCCCTGATGAATAATTTCCTTTGCTTTAACCAATTTAGTGATATTTTGTGTCACTTTCCAAATTTTGTTGTAAAGTTTTTCATTAACAGTAACAGTAACATCACATGGTTACCCATGGTGGACAGTGTTTGGTGGAGCTCCTAGGTTAAGACAGGTTTGGAAGCAGGAGTGGCATCCACTCCCCTAAATCCCATACCTCTGGAAACTCTGGAACTTGAAGAAATGATGTTACAGAATGGCTTCAGGCCTTTTGTTCATAGAGTTGCTATGAGTTGTGCTCAACTCGATGGCAGTCAACAACACAACATCACATATAAGTATCCGAGTAATTCTCAAAATTTACAAAATTACATAGAGAATTAAAATGGGAAATTTGATGAGTTAAGAACTGATTTGGAAATCCTCCCAGATTTTGATCTCCCCCTCTTTAGTTTCCAAGGATAAAAGTAAAAATGCCCCCTCTTCCCTCACTCATTATAGTAGAATGTAGTAGATACTGCTCTGCAGGAACTTTTCACTCTATCTTTAGGTTGTTTGGGAATGCCAGATAGAGAATTAAGCATTAACATGTTTTGCCAGAAAGCTAAGAAACTCAGCGGATCGATCCTTATACTATTTACATTTTAATTGTCTTTGAAACTCTTACTCTCTAAATAGGAAGCTGAGTGTCATTACTAAAATTATTCTTTTGAAAGATGGGCGGTCTCCTCCAGTTAATATTTACAACCTCAGAAACTCAACAAACTAGAAACTCATGGACTCAAAGGCAGAGTTGAAGTGCTTTTGAGTTTATTGAAATTTATTATCTCCTACCTTGAATATACTGTTACCTGCTGAGGAAGAAATTTCAAATTATCTCAATGTTGTAGCTCTCTGTATTCCGCGCAAATGTTTAGGTGAAGCGGGAGGAGAGCTTTCTTGAGCTTGATCAACAACGGAGTGTCTTTTCACACTCACCTGAGCTCCATCTTCTTTCTTTCTTCCTCTCCCTCCATCTCTCTGTCCTGTATTGTGTGGGAAGACTCTCTGGCTCTGTTCAGCATATCCCCTGCTGTGTACCTGCCATAGCCAACTGGAGCCTTGAACTCATGGCTGTGTTTGGCAGGGGGCGCAAGAGGTCCCACAGCTTTCCTGTAGCTCTACGCTAAGTTGTTCCCTGTGCGCCTGGTGTCCCCGAAGCTCTCCAGCGCCCCGCCCCGGGCAGGGAACCTATCTCTTTGGTCTCCCCGGACTTGCCAGTCTTACCATCAGCAGGTCTCCCTCTACTTTGTCCAACCCTATACCATCAGGAGTACAAGTGTGCTTTGTGAACCTTTCTCAGTTGTTGCCCGGGCGTCCTAGTCCCAGAGAGTGCACAGGCTTTAATCCTCTGTCTAAAGGGCTGGAGAGCGTGGCCCTTTTTAATCTTGGCTCTTGTAGCTAAGTGGTTCCTTCTCTTTGGCTGCCTTTGAAGACATGCACCCATCAACTTGCACCTAGAATTCTGATCTTTAGATTCTGAAAGGAGCTTGGTATTGCCTGGGGTCAGCGACCGAGAGGCAGCAGGAAGGGTGGAGGCTGCAGCCATTCGGAGCGCGCCAGCCCGGCTTGAAGACGAGGGGCGCGCAGTAGTGCGGTAGTGGGGCACAGGGTACTGAGCACAAGCCATCCAGCCCGGGCCTCGCCCTCCGCCTGTGCTCCCTGCCCCTCCCCTCCCCGCCTCCCAGGCTCGCCCCTCCCTTCTCCTGGAGCAGTCTCTCCTCCGCGTGTCTCCCAGCGCTCTCTCCATTGTCTCTGCCTTTACAACAGGTTCAGGCTGCGCTCAAGACTGTGGAGGGTGCAGAGCCATCTGAGCTTCCCTTTCTGGGGGCCGACCCTCTTCTTGATGTGCATCTCTCCACCTTCTTTTATTCTGCTCCAGTGCTAATTTCTCGACCCTGGGGCAAGTGCCACCCCTCCTCTGGGCCACCCTACCAGTCCGCGATGCCGCCTCGCTTCTGCGTGTGGGAATGATGTGCGCGTTGGAGGGTCTAAGTTCTTCACGCGCCTGGGGTATTCTCGCCTTTTCTTCTTAGGAAAGCAAATCATATTAATCCTTATAATCAGTAAATCGGAGGCAGCAGCAGAAGAGGCAAACCCTATTTCCCCGCTTTATTCCAAGCAGCTTTCTGGTTTTTATTTTTAAAGAGGAAGACGATGGACTGAGCAGATCCACACCATGGAGTCTCGGGTGTTACTGAGAACATTTTGTTTGATCTTCGGTCTTGGAGCAGGTGAGTGTCTTCTGGGCTTGGGGGTGGGGTGAAGGGATGGTCTCCTGCCCGGAGCAGTTTAGGGCTATCTGGGAAAGCCTCACATTTTGGGGACTTGAAGTGGGTCTCAGTGGCAAGCCCGGTTTGAGGGTAAGGGTATGGATTGTATGTGTTTGTGTTTGACTCAGAGAGAGCCAGGTGGTTCACACCCTAACTTAGTCCGGGGTCTGATGGCCAAGGGGTAACTTTGCACAGACAGGGCTTTTAAAGTAGGTCATGGAAACGGGACTAGGGACTAGGTGCTTTGCTATTTAAAGCTTGGCTTCTCTTCTCAGGTAATGCTTTTGGCAGCTGAGGGGGTGGTAGGGCTAGCCCTCTTGTGTCAGTTTCCCATATTGACACGGTTCTTTGCTGCCCCAGGAAAGATGCTTGCATTTTGATTGAGCTTTTTATTTTTTTTCCTCCCCACCCTCCACCTCCCAGTTTGGGGGCTTGGTGTGGACCCCTCTCTGCAGATTGACGTCTTAACAGAGTTAGAACTTGGGGAGTCCACGACTGGAGTGCGCCAGGTTCCCGGGCTGCATAATGGAACGAAAGCCTTTCTCTTTCAAGGTATAAAGAGCTTGCTGAGTCCTCAGTGCAGTGAGGTTTCAATTCGAATAGTCTAGGAGTTGGTCTCTGCTGTTCCTAACTTCTGTTTTGAATAACAGTATCTGAGTTGAGGTGTTGGAGGGGTCAGCCTGAGGCACACACCTTCGGAGAGACCTGATTTTGGATTCTCTCTTCCATCTTACTTTGTACTCTTCCCAGTTCTAATGGATAGTCCCTTAAATGCCTCATCGAAACTCCGAAAGCAGATGGTTGATTTCAGAGTCTGGGCAACAATGAATTATAACACAAATGGGCTATATGGGTGAAATGGATTTGGATAGAAAACGGAATAGCTTAATATTGTTTAAGACACTGTTTTCTCAAAGTTTCAGCACAATGGTGTCCTGCTGGAAGGAAATTCTTTATGTGGGTAGTTTTCTGGAAAAAATAATATCTTAGGATTTTTATCTACTGTGCATTACACAATATAGGAGACAAGATTCAGCCTTGAAAGATCGTTTTCCCACCTTTATTACTGAGAACAAGGGCACAATATCTCAAAATTTATTTTGAAAATATTTCGAGTAATTGTTAACCTTGAAGTATTCTTAGTATCGGATCTATTCTATACTTGGGACGTTTTGAAACATGCTTTTTTGAAATAATTGAACATTTTCTAGGCAAAAATGTCTACCTTTAAAATGATAGTTAAGTGTGCCTGATAGTCAGAAGCAAATTAGAACTCATCAGCCCTTCAGCTTTGATTGCCACAGCTTTTGGAGATTGTTGAGTGTGTGGAAAGATGCTGTTGTACAAGTTTCTGAAGGATTGTTAAACAAATACAGAAAGACTAGTTTTACCTGTGATGACTATCACTGACAAAGAAGTGGATTTTGGCTTATCTGATGAATTAAAGCTATTTTCCTCCACCTTTCCTAGATTTTTCTTTGGTAATTTTGGTACTGTGGTTTCAAAAGAAGTGCAAGTCATAATTGTTAGAGAGTTGGATACGTAAAATAAAAACACTTCAGCAAAACTGCCTTGAAGAAAGGCGGAAAGTAAAACTTGAGTGTTTCCAGAATGATGCTGTTGCCTGATACCGCCAGTGTGTGTCACCACGGTCAGTAACACCAAAGCTTGAAATTGAGAAAGGAGGAAATTGACATGTGTTGCATTTATTTAAAACTAGTTTACCCTTCTAAGATATACATTCTTGTTTTAATTATTTTGAGTCCACTCAATATTATTATGACAAATATTTATGACAATATTTATTTAAAGACTTATTTTTGCTTGTATCTTAAATCTTTTAAAAATAATTATCAAAGCGATAAAATAAATAAAGCCAAATTGTTAGCAAAATTTCAGCGGAATTGAATAGGAGGGTCATGAAGGATTCATGTTTGTGAATGTTTGTGATTGTGTTTTAATTTCTGATATTCTGTCTTTCTGACCTGGGGACTAAGTTATTTCAAAACTGCATATTTTAATAACTGAAAAGCTTTATAGGAATCGAAGCTCACAATAAACAAATGGTGATGAAAAAGAAAAAAAATGATACCTGAAGATTTTCAGAGGTCCTTTCCATTTTGTGTTCTTCTTGGTTTCCTGTTAAGTGTCTGAGCTGTTATAAATAGAAACCTCTAGGACTGCATATTTTACCTCCTTGTGCTAGACAATTAGAGAGTTAGTAGAACATATAGTCTCAAAGGACCAATACCTATTGTACTTAATTTTAAAAAGAATGTCTAGTGTTTATCTTCACTTAAATTTGTTTTTATTTTAATTGCCATCTTCTAGTTAGGCATCATGTTCTGGACTGCTAGAATTGCTAAGGATCATGAAATATGTTTTGCTTGAATGATCCACTGTTAACTAGATAACAATATATATGCTAATTGATTGATTATATATCCTTGTTAGTACCAAGCTCAACACTTAAAAATACAACAACAAAAAAACACCACCAAAGTTAATGCCTAAGAAAGAGTTTATCAGGTTTAATGATATACAATTTTATGCCAAACTATGAACTTTATTTCATTAATGCCTGATTTGTCTTGATATATTGATGATGTCCTAGTATTTATTTTATTTGAAGCTTTGGCTTCTGAGTTAATAGCAGGTAGACCTTGGGCCCTACATGGCAGTTCTGTAAAGTACCATTGCCTTAGAAAGGTCTTTTCTCTGTTACTAGGATGTACTGTTGTTAGGAAGTCTGTTCTGACTCCTGCTGCTTCACTGGTATTCTGTAGGCTTTAGAAAGACAAAAGCTTTCAGATTCTGAAGATTTTATAGATTTGATTTCTAGTGAATTGAGGGTGTTGCAGATATTTTTTGTAGGAAGTGTAAAATGTCACAGCAGGAGTAGTAACAAATTACACAAACCTGTAAGATGTCCTTAGATTTAATATAAACCTAGAAATTTCTTTGTGTTATCAGATTTGGCCCAAATAGGTGGAAGCAAATCTGAACCATAAGAGCTCTCTGGTATCAATATAACTCTTCCTCTTCTGTCTCTTACCTTTAATATAAAGAACCCTCTATATGCTCACAGTAAAAGACATGAAAATACATGAAAATCTGTACCTGGTTTTTATCATAATAGCAACTATGCTATTACTAAATTGTTTTGTTGTTGAAGTTTTATTTAACTCTTCTTAGTAAATGTTAGTAATAAGATGATAAATTGGTCATTTATTTTATAAATATACCTTTTTATTTGTGCTTATTAGAATGATTTTCCAAAGTGGGAAGTGTCTAGGCAACAGCTTGGGATCTACATCAAGATATTCTAAGTCAATGAATGCATTTCCCTAGTTATAATCTGACTCATAGGCATAAAAATATACCTGCTGTATCTTTTAAGACAATAAGGAACTTAATTCTGACAATGAAAAAATCCTGTGAAAATAGAAATTATGAAATTGTTCGAGCTAATACAATTGAGTAGAATTTTGCCTATCTTATTTTGAGAAATTGAAAGTATTATTTTGAGATAATGATCATAATAATGTTCTTTTCTCTATATAAATGAGAAGAAGAATGAAAGGATACAAACAAACAACTCTAGGACTTTCTAGCACATTAGCAAAGTTTCCAGATCTTTTATTTCAAAAATTCATTTAGCCACATTGCTCAAACAAATGGTTTCATCAGATAGCTTAAAAAAACCTTCTAAACTGTTCATGGATTTTATAATCTCATTTATCCTTACAAGAGAAGTAGATACAAATGAAACTCCCGCCCCGCCCCCCTTTGGGATTGGTACTTTGAAACTAAGGTTAGTAATAACTTTAAGATTGTAAAGTGACAACATGTGCACAAGTGTCCTCTTAAGCTAGTGGTTTTTTTTAATTATTATTAAATTTTATTAGTTTTAATGAACATTTACAGAGATTTTGGGTTTTCATTCATTCATTGTTGCACCATTCTCTGTACCCTCCTCCCCAGTTCGTTCTTCTTCCCCCCCCATGTCTGTTTTAATTGTCCAGTTGCCACAGTGCTTGTCAAAGCCAGTTCTGATTAATCTTCTTTGTCAGTGTGTCCTTTGCCATTCCCTATCACTCCTCCCTGAGAGAGACTTCACCTTGATTCATAAGGAAAAGGGGATGGCGTATTCTCTTAGCTACTTCCTGCTGAAAAGGGACACTGTGGGTTTCAGGGTGAAGGTCTTCCCTCACTACTCTAAAGGCCCCTTTGGCAGTAGGAAACACACAGACTATTATGGAGATTGATTTTGGAATTTAGATGCACTGTTATCAATTGTGCTTAGCCATACATGTTCATATCCTTGAAGATGTATCATGGAAGTGTTTCAGCCTAGAAGATACAAATTTAACGAACAAGTTAAAAGTGCATGAGTCAAAAATTGAAAAGCAGTAATATTCCGAGTAGCGGTTCTAATAGTGGCACAAATCAAGTTACAGAGGTAAGGTGGTGCTTACAATAAAAGGCCTATAGACTAGCACTTTGTCTATTATAGTGTGGAGGTTAGGAACCACAAGATGAAGAGGCTCAGCTCTGTCATTTATGGTTCTTAAGTCCTGGAGCAAATTCCATCTACCACTGGGTTGTTTTAAAACTTCAGTAGACAGTGTCACAGACGAAAGCCACAGATAGGCAAGGGAGTAGAGAGGAAGCTCCCACTCACTTGCTTTAATGTGGCTCTGAAGGACACTTGGCCAAGGTGGCCCACATCAGGTCCTCGTGACAGAAAGGACTGACAGGCCCCAGCTCCCAGCTGGAAACAAAGGAGGACGCTTCGACGATTTAGATCCTCCCAGAAGAGCTGTGGGTGAGCATTAACATTACTGATAAGTATATTTGTTTTCTACTGGACACAGAGCCTACTAATTGGTCCTAAAAGGCTTCTGATGTCCCACTCTTCTCACTATTTCGTAGTTGTTGGAATGGACGGAAAACCTCATAAGCAGATCCTTAAGCTAGTGTTTGATAACGAGAATGAAATGGTCCTTGATGTTAGAACACCCAACACTGCATTAGGCAAGGTGAGGTAGCATGACTATTTGTCTTGACAGTGATGGTCAGTGAGCACCTGTGGGTTTAGGAATAATTACCTTTCATGTCCTAAATGAGTAGAATAGCATGGTAATTAAGGAATGAGGTTGGACACTGGACTGGCCCAGATAGACACTCATTAGTTGTATGATTGGCAGCGGAGTTTATTTATCTGAGAATTAAATGAAACATATTAATTCATTCAAATATATTTTCCTTGTGCAGCTATTATTCTGTTGGGTGTTAAGTATATAATTAATGAATTTAGAAGTTGTCTCTGCCTTTATGTTGTTGTTGAGTGCTATAGAGTCGGAACCAACCCATAGCTGATCTACGTTTTCAGATGCGGTAAACCTCAAGGAAAGAGATTGTCCATCTTGCTTCCATGGATTGATTAATGGATTTGAAATGTGTATCTTTGCATTGCAGCACAATTACTTACACTAAGCTAAAATAGCAAATAATTATTTATTGTTGTTAGGTGTTGTCAAGTTAACTAC